ACATTTTTATTTTCTTGCATTTTCAATTTTTCTTTCAAATATTTAAAAAACAGTGTAAAAAATAAACAGCACCAAGTACAAGAAAATTGAAATGTACAGGACAATAATATTATTTAACGGTTTGCAAATGTTTCAGTGCAACACATTTTAGTGCTTTGCAATCAGAACGTCTTGTTAAGGGACAACATGGTCTCGTCTTTCCAAATATAAAAAGGTATAACAACATTAAAAACTGGTGAAAAAATAAATATGCTATAAATATATAGCACAAAGTGATGATATAAAAACTGCAATTTCCCTGTAACAATTACCATTTTCTTTAGTGCAACGTTAGTGCAGTTATTTGTCAAATTAGCACCATTGTTTTAGAAAATACACTCTTCTTAATAAAAAAAAAAGCAAAAAGTAAACAAAAAAAGCAAAAATCTGTCAAACTGCAGTTTTGATGCTATTGCAAATGAATTTCCAAAAGTTGATTCTGTTCATCTGGACGTAGTGTTTTGTGGGAGAAACATTTCATCACTCAAAGGCCCCCAGATCATCATGTGGTGTCAGCAGGCATTCGCTTTTTGCGCGGACTATCACGTTGTTTACCTGAAGATGTTTTAGTCCTGAAAATAAAATAAAAATAACATTATATCATTGCTCTGTCAATATTACAGAATCTAAGTATTCTAAATAAATTTATAGCTTAGTGGAAAGATATATGCATCAGTTTGGTTGACATGCAGTTTACATTAGTTTACAAAGGAAGTAAAAGAATAAAAAGGAGCTCTGGAGGTAAGTCAGAAAATTCCAAATGTCACAACATATTTTTAATTTTAACTTTCCATTGCATGTTTTATTACATTATTCTCCAAGTTCACAATCTTAAAAGTCAACATTTGGCCATTTTCTGACAAACCCTGTCTCTTTAAAATCCTCATTTTATACTACTAGCATTTTGACAGTTAATCTAGTTAGTTGTAAAATGTTGTTCCAGTTGTTTCTTTCATTTTGAACTTTTGGTGTCCTGTGGCAACATTTTTGAGATGCGTTTAGAGACACCAAATCCAAAATAAGCTAAAAGTTTCATTATTTCATTAGATTTACATTTCATCAATTTGATATACTTTCAACATTCTATTGTGATAGGTTTATAAAATGTTCTATTTACTGCATTATAATTTTATTCATATTTAACAGCATTCCAAATTTTTCATAGCTGGGTTTATAACTTTGTAGATGCAGAATGATGCATCAAGCCTGACTTACTCCTGAGTATCTCTCACTGTAGCTTCAGGTAGCCATGTCATTCATCTCAACCGGCCGATGTGACTGACTGTAAGATTCAAGAACAGTTACATCTGCACAAATATTTATCAGCTGAACAAAAAGACAAAAAGCAACGCTGTTTAAGAGGATTACCTGCTCTGAGATTTCTTTCTAAGCCATACAGAGATGAGTGCAGAAACACAGGCAAACAACAACGCAGCAGAGGATAGAATGACTAAGGTCCTGGATCCTATGGACAAAGAGGGGGTATTACATTTTAAATATCAACGGATGGAAAAGAAAAAGTGGCTTTAAAAAGTGTCAATTTTGACATACCGGAATTTATGTGATTAGATTTCTCATCCAAACCTGGAAGAAGGAACCCAAACATTTGAATCACAGGGTAATCATTAATTTATAAATCAATGACTGAAAGAGTTTCTCACCATCATCATCATCATCTGGAGTTGTCACCATCACCTCTCTGTGAGGAGCAGAGAGCACTCGTGC